CAATGCCTCCTTACCTCTACCAGTGGAAGTGCAAGGCCTTGAACTGATGTTGCTGACAGTGGCAGATACCACAGCCGTCGCATGGTTTAGCCCCAAGCAAGACAAGGATGGAAACCATGGGTTTGTCTGTCAGTTACAACCTTTCCACAGGAACATGCAAGAATCACAGGTAAAACCTCACTGAAAATACTTCATTCTGACTTCCTGCCAGTTCTTTGCAGTGTCCCAACTATGCACCACACCTGATGAGCTTAAAGAGACATTTTTTCTTGACACATAATGCTTAGACAAAATCAGCAAGAAAGTCACAATAATGAGAAAGATATTTGAAAAAAATGTATATATTTCCTAGAGGTATGAGAACTGAACATATTTCCAGGCCTGTGACTTGTTGCCACAGGTTGAAGGAGCCATCAGTGGTTGTTCAGAGTGATGACCATCTCCACCCACACCTCCTCCTGACAGACATCACCCTGTCAGCTGTAGCCTGGGCTGCCCCACAGGAGGAGCTGGTCAACCAGGTCAGGAAATATTGTTTTGTAAGACTACACCAAGTCAATCTCTTGGTTCAAAATTGGCACTTTATTTCTTTCTGACTTTTTACTTTTACCATTTAGGTTTAAATCAGGTTCACAATACATGTACAAATATTTTGGCACCAACAGCTGTTACCATTTTTTTTCATTTTACCAATGCATTGAAAGTTGTTAACAATCAACAGTCCAACAAAGATGAACTTTCCTGCTAACTCTTCCTTAATGTTGTCCTCCAACAGCTGATGCTGTATGCTGGTGCTTCTGTGGCTGAGTCTCTGTGCCATATAAACCACTGGGACCCATGTTCCATCCCCATCCACACACTGGAGGTGGGCCTGAGGCATCGCCAACTGGACACTGTCGCCTTCTTTCTGAAGAGTAGGGAGAACGGTAAACATGGCATCTTTGCAACAGAAGAAAATCAACAAGTTGAATGGTTCTGTTTGACAGTTGCATACCGATAATACAGCAAAAGTGCTATGATAGGTCACTTTGCATGCGATAGGTCATATCAAGGACTTTGTAAATGATATACAACTTTACTGCTTAGTGAAGTACTGCTTATGCACACCACAAATACTTCAAAATTTATGGCACACAGTAGTTTTCCAGTTTTTTTTGTTGCATAGGTCCTTAGATACAGTAGTAACACTAGTAACAGAAGTATATCTTCATTGTCTTTTTTTTTTAGTGTTCCGACCCAAATCAAGAACTCCAGCTCAAAGCCCCTTATCCCCGACACCCCCCAGTCCTCCCCCAGCACCCAGTCTGGACACACTTCAACTCAGAGCAGCCATAGATCTGCTTGTCTCTGCCATCCACGAGAACATCAAGGAACCACCGTCCAAACAGTTTGCAGAACAACTTCTGCACCTGACACTGGACCACCTACATCTGCTCATCAGGACAGCCACTGAGCTGGCAGCAGATACATCTCATCATCCTTTTGATCCTTCTGTCGACTTGCCTGGCCCAGTGGCTTCACCAGGCTTTACAGTGGACAGGCCACAACTGGAGCAGTGTGTACAGACATTGATGGGCTATGTTGTGGAGTTAAGGCATTTCCTGAAAAGGCCTGCAGTCAGCAGCCAAACTGGGGGTGTGGAAAGCTTTGTTCAAAAAGCACTGTCTGGTGAAGGAGCCTACACACTACAACTCTTAGATGAAGATGATAAATGCTTGAAGAGGTGGGAGGCAATGGATAAAGAGGTAAGAAGTACAACAGTGTCTGTGCAAACAGTGTATGAAAGGTTGTTTTCTTCTTTGTATTTGTATCATTTTTAATTGTTTTGTACTCTTGTGGTAATAGATAAATAAACTGAATAAATTTTGTCTCCTCCAGGCCATGATTTGTGATGCCATCCTGACGTCCAACATCCCGTTGGCTCAGTCCTGCCTGCAGGAGCGAGCCTTTGGTCAGAGCTCCGGCCATGTCCAGGCAGGCAAGCTGACCAGCGTTACTGACCTCGGCCTGAACATGGCCCTACAGTGTCTGGTAGACAAAGACTTACAACAGGCCTGGAAACTACTGGCCAATATGGTAAATGTGATGTTTTATTTCTAGAGCACTTACATGTACCTGTAGTGCCTTGTTGCTTCATAGATGAAATATTCACTGCAGATTTCTAAAAATTCAATTGAACTACATGTACATGTATTGTTCTCATACCACTCATGTGGTAATCCTATGACAGAAGAGTTTCTTTGCTAGCTTCATTCTTTGCTAAATTTTGCATGTGTTTAGTATAATTTACCCAGAGGAGAAACACTGTACTGCATGCAGCATGTTTTTAATAATATATATTACATGTAACATTAGTTATGGGTTCACCACACCACGAAGTGGTGGTGAACCCATATTGCTTTTTCTGATGTTTCTTCTTCTCCTCCTGCCATTTTTTAAATGGATTCAGCTTCTTCATTTTAGGGCCTGAGGTCCTGAAATTTGGTATGGAGGTACAGTGGGCAAATACCCCTAGGCGTTTTTTAAATTTTTGTGATACAGGCTTTTAGAATGGTTTTATTTGAGTTTTTGGCTGTGTTATAGCAAATGTATTACTGTGTTAGTGTGCCGTGTTTACCACGTCTGGGCATGAGTCATCACAATGGAATGCAGGGCATCAACCAATAGGCATGCAGCTTTCCTCTATACTTCTTGCTGATTGGCTGTTGGGATTTAACTTGATTAACACCTGCACAGAGCATTTCCACCTGCACAGAGCATTTCTTGCTGATTGGCTGTTGGGATTTAACTTGATTAACACCTGCACAGAGCATTTCCATACTGACAGTATGTCTTTATTCAAGTGTTCGGTAGGTATTTCAAGCTTTTCTGCCCCAGCATTGGAATGCGGGGCATGAACGTTTTTTTTTTTTTTTT